ATATATAATGATCTAAAACTAATAAGTTAGTTGAATCAAGCTCTTAAATATGATATATATGAAAAACATTTAAGTAGTATTTACATTACAATACAATGCTCGGTCAAAAATCTTAAGAACTTTATTATATTTACTTTATTAAGTATTATTTTGAGTATTTTTCATTAAATAAAATGAATCAACTAGAGATAAATTAACAAGGCCCTTTGTAAATAATGAATTGACTCTCTTGGAATCTATAGGCAAAGCTTTTATACTCTATATAATTCTGTCATTGTAACCACTTACCATATTTATATAGAATCATAATATAATAATGATTATCATTATTATTCTACCCTGATGGGAGAAGAGAAAATAAAATATGTCATAATCACATCATATCATCTTTACAAAGTTATTATAATCTTTTAATTCTTCTATCCTTTTTTCCAATCGTCTTCTCTATTTCTTGCAATATAATAATTAAATTAACAAAATAAGCTTAGACATTTTTAATAGATTATTTACCTTAGATCTAGGATGATTAAAATGATTTTGGTTTATGGATAACGCAGCATCTAATAATTTTATTGCATACTCATATTTACTATAGTCACCATAATATTTATCCTAACTTAATCGTTAGTATAATTTTTATATATAATTTTTCTACTTTTTGTTGTTCTTTTTATGTAATTAATAATTATTTAAGTGCTCTTTGTTTTATGAAATAAGCAAATCTAGCTCTACAAAAATTAATAAAATAACTTATAAACACATACTTTATTAATTATCATCTTTCTTCTAGATTTAAACAATTTGAATTCTTTAATAAAAAATTTCTAAGATTGACTATCCGTGTGATTAAATTTACTCCATCATCCCAGTTTATTCCATAAAAATATAATTTGCAAATTCAATAATTTTGCAGATTTAATAAATTCTTGTAATTTTTGCTCATTTTTTTAATAGTGAAGGATTTCAAGGTCATCCAATTTAAGTAAATTTCATTAATCAAATCTGACTATGGATATTGGTTCAAAATATTATTTTCAAAAAGGAAGGAACCAAATCTCACTTATCGATTAGTTTCAAAGGGTTTTCAGTGACTAGAGGAATTGGCTGAATCATAAAATTCAAGGAAATTCATAATAAATATTTTTATTACGATGTTTGGTAGCCAGCATGGTGGAGTTAAACCATCCTATCTATATTTCAGAACTTTCTAAGTTTTGATTAATTTTGTGATTAGCAATATATTTTACCCTTATCCTCACAATAGAATTGAGTTTCTGACATAAATGACCTAGCTTTCAACTCATTAGGAAGACTCTACCATATCAGAAACTGATGTTAAATACAGAAATTATATTCACTTCTCTAAAACTTCGACTTCTACCAGAGTCCTAGATTGTAAGAATTTTGTTTGGGGTAAATAATTCTTCTATAAATCTCATTTGGCTACTGTAAGAAATCTATAAAAAGAATACTGAGCTCTTTTTTATTAATAATATTATTTAAATTTTTATAATACTTTTTTATGTTCAAACAAGGTTCAATGTAAAAAATGAATATCTTTATTTATTTGAAACAGAAAATCAAAATCTTAGCATTAATATTCTTAAAGTTAAACTTATCATAGTTGGATAAATAATTTATCTCCAATAAATTAGCAAATGTAATTGTTTAATTAAGTAATTTTGTAATTAGGTTATTTATCTTTTAAAGATAATTCTAATTGTATTTTGAAATGATTTAAACATTATTCATAATTTCTATATATAAAGCTTCTTTTTCTTAATCCTAATAATTTGATATAAAGTTTTTATTTTCCTTAATTATGATTATTTAATCAAAGTCTACGTTCTCATGATTTAGTTATATTTATAGCTTCCATTATCGATTATCCTATTAATTTATTATTTCTCAATTATTACCACTTCCTTTCTTAATTTTCTAAAAGGATGTAAAATAAAGTTCAATAAATTCTTCATTTTGGCCAAATATTTACAAAAATGCTTATCTAAAATAAAAATCTTGACTATTTCACGATTTTATTTCGATTTACTTAAATTAATCTCTACTTTAAATATAAATTGATTTAGAACTAATTAGAATCTATAAACTCTAATATATTGTAAATAAATTATACTTTTGGAAATAAAGTTAAATTTCCATTACATATTTTTAAATGAGATGAATTTAATAATTGTGAATTAGTGGTTTTGCTAAAACCATTAGAGAAGGAAACCTTAAATTTATTGAATTATTAGAAATAAATTATCTCAATATATTCTTTTATATATAAAATTCATATATTTAATATCTCATATGATTAATACTTTTTAAATTTATTACCCCACAATACCAAATACTATCCATTATTGGTTATAGATCCAAAAATATCGTCACTTTATAAATTTAATGATGCCACAATATTAAAAGTGCTATGATTTAATACCCTAATCAAATATATATGATGTTTATGTCCTAAAAATATAATATTTTTCTCCTTATTGTGAATAACTGGGACATAGGCAAAATCATCATTTAAATTATTCTCAGTCAATTTGATAGTTTTATTAATATTTTATTAAAAGACTCCATTTTACATTTCAAATACCAAAATATCATCAATATTCTTATATCTTGTTACCCAAAGAAATTGTTGATCATTAATAAAATGTATTTTAGCTCCATCATCTGAAACTTCTTCTGTATAATGAAATTAAAAAATAATTAAATTCTTTTAGAATATTATAAAAACCTTGATTTTAAATAATAAATAATGTTAAATACTATAAATATGTAAATAGTTAATAAAAATACTTACTTTATTCAATGATATATTTAAATTCCCATTTTCCTTATACTCCTTTTTCCCATATGATAAAATGAGTATATCCACATGATACCAATACAGTTTCAGATGAATTAAAACTGAATGAAAATACACCCATACTATGTTCATCTAATGAGTACTGAAAATTCAGCTCATTCTTAATAAAATCTACTTTCCAAACTTTTATTGAATTATCAATGCTTCCTGAAATAAGTTGATCTTCCTGTTTGTTTAACATTAAACTAAGAATAATTTAACTATGATATTATAATGGCTATGAACTCTTCCACTCTTTTTTATTAATTTATTGCCAACAGATGATAGTCTTATCCTGAGAACCAGATATAAAGTTATTTCTTAATTTGCTATACACCAAACATGTAACTTCCTCTTTATGTTTTTTATATGTATTAATTAATTTTAATCTTCCTTATTCAAAATTCCAAATTTTAATATTTTCATTATCACATGAAATCATAATTTATCCTGTTTTATCAAAAACTATTGCTTAACAATAACCAATCTATTAATTAGAATCATCAATTAACTTAATTTCAACTTGTTTATCTATCATTAATAATTATTTCTATTAATTCTATTATATATCTAGTTAGATCACTTCCTATTATTTCTTACTTTAATTTTCTTAATTTCCTTCTATCAAAAGCTTTTCATATTGCATAATTTTTAGTTGCGAGGAATCAATAGCTTCTTCCACAACATTTTTTTGTTTATTTATATACTCCTCTTCATTTTTATTTATTTTTGAATCTTCTGATTGATT